CACCCGTAAAATGGCAACAGGCAAACAGGCTTAAACATCCTTAGTCACACACACACACACACACACACACACACACACACACACACACACACACACACACACACACACACACACACACACACACACACACACACACACACACACACACACACACACACACACACACACACACACACACACACACACACAGTTGTCTGAAGTAGTGCAGTTTGGAGGTGTTAATACTTTATAACCGAGACGTGTTCAAGGTGAAGAGGGAAACAGCTCTGTCATCGTGCCGCTTCCTCTCCCTGTCCTTGCACTCTTTCCTTGTGTTTTAAATTGACTTTTAGCTTCTGTTTCTGTTCTTTTCAATATGTCTGTACAGTTGTGTGTGTATGCACGTTGGCCCGGCTCACGTTGAATATACTCTTACTGTTTGGGGTTTGTGGGTCAGTGTGTTCGTCTTCAGATGTTTACACCGTGACACACACTCCTTAATGTGCCATGTTTCAGTTTCAGATGCTGGTCATTACATACGTTAATGTACACGCTTTGCCGTTTGCTATGTCAATCTGACATGGTTTCACGCTGGGCAACATTTCCTCCTTCAAACATCTTCTATTTTTATTCTCTGTTATCCTTGGGCTGAACATGTGCTGACTAACACCATCACATTTCTAACCTAAAGAGTTATTCTACAAAGTGCTTGTTATGGTTATGTGATTCTATACAGCAAGGACACTCGTGAAAAGCAGCCCCAAAGGCATTCAAAGCAAGTCTTCCTTAACGTAATGATACTCCAACGAGTCCTTTCTATATTACATTTTCAGTTTACCCATGACCTGACAACCCTCGCTTATATGTTGCATTCTATAGAGCGCATGCTGACAGTTAGCCAGTTAGAAAACACTAAACAAACACATGTGAACACCAGTGAACATCCAGGGAGCGGACTGCTGCCCCCCCGCTGTCTCACGGAGAGATACCGCAGGTCTTTCCTTCCTGCAGCGATCAGACTATACAACCAGCACAGCCCCTAGTTGACCCCCCCACACACACCACAACACAGACTTTATCACCCCTTGCTGCTAAATACCAACAAACTAGTGCAATATGTGCAATATATAAATGCCGTTAATAACTGTGTAATATACCTGGCTGCTAAATCCTTAGAACTGTTACAAGGTGTGTATTTTGTATTTTGTAAATTGTGTAACTTGCTGCTGTTAAATACCAACCACCTATGTGCAATATGTGCAAGATGTGCAATATATATAGATGCCGTTAATAACTGTGTAATATATACCTGGCTGCTAAATCCTAAGAACTGTTACAGGATGTGTATTTTTTTTTATTATGTCACTTTTTTTTTTTTATTATATATTTTTTCATTATATCATAACTTAGTACTTTTTTTTAAAATGCATGTCACATATTTAACATAAGTAACATTAAGCTGTCTGTGGCTCTTTTTCCTGCTGTAACTACGCAAATGTCCCCTCTGTGGGACTAATAAAGGTATTCTGATTCTGATCTGATGTCAACACAAGTGTGCAGGCAGCGATAAAACTGTCTTTTGAAACAAACGTCATGATAGGGTGAAGATGAACCTTGAAAAAAAAAAGTATATGTTCATAAAATCGATAAGTTTAAGAATAGAAAACACTGTTAATGATAGACATGGTTTAAGAGTTTAAAAATCACATAGAGAAAATGTATAAATTAACTAACACATCATATACTTGGAGATATCGGCAATATGTTAGAAAATGGACTGTATACTTATACAACCCTTTATCCAGTCTTTACGACCCATCAAAGCGCTTTAGTCATCACAAGTCATCATTCACATTTCATTCAGACAACAATGTGCCATTTACTATAAGCTAACATTCACACATGTTAACACAACGTTGCCAGGAGCAATTTGGGGTTAAGTCATGATCGAAACCACAACCTTACGATTGAAAGACGACCGCACTCTCTCACAGTCACAGTCGCCTGTGATTGTTACAGTGAAATCTGATTTACAGTCAAAATCAAATCCTCAAACATCACAAAACATGTTTGTCTCAGTGGGCTTTAACGATTACACACAAACAACAGTGCATTCAGGTTCCTGAGATCAAATCGCCAAAATAATCGAGTATTTGTTTTATCCTCTACTTCAATTCAATGTCTTACATTTTGAATTTGAAAAAAAAGTTGAGGTTTTTTTATCCATTTCTTTTTGTTCGTTTTTTTTACTACAAATGCCCCCAAAAACCTTTCCAGGAGAAAAATCTCAGTTTGAAAGTTGAAGACTGATCGTTTCTGATCCAGACGTTTTGTGGGGTGAAAATTGGTTGAACAGTTTGGTCCTCGATCATCAGAAACAGAAAGGTGAGAGGACAAGCTTCATAAAAAATCATGAAAAGAAAATATATGTCTCTGACCGGGGAGGAAAATCAATCCATCTTTTAGTTTTCAGATATCTTGCTGCCCCTAACTTAGACACATATTAAAAAACAACTAAATAATATGAAGAGATTGGGTTAAGGACTTAAAGCCAATGTGCATTAAGCATTTGAATACATCCAAAAGACTGACTCATTCATTGAAATGCATTCTATCTGCATACTAGACATCCAGGAAAGAAAGGATGGGTGCAAAAAGAGTCTGCAGTTGTTTACAAGTTCCAAAAATATCCTTTAATTACATTTGACAACCTGCCCTTTATCTTAATCTAATTATGTCATTTTGCATCCAATGTAATAAAGGCCTGCCAAATGCAATAATGAAAATGTGTATTATCATCTAGTGTTCCCCGCTGAATGGAAGCCCCTGCTGGCCCGGTAACAAATGAGCACGGTGTCAGAGCTTTTCAAACCCTGCCATTATCAAAACACAGACATTTACAAAAAGGACTGCCTAGCGCTCAGAGCCATTCAAAACAAATTGACATCCGGCGCTGATGCTTTGTGAGGAAACGTTTCCTGAAATGTCTCAATGTAGGACACAGAAGAGCTGCAAAACTGTATGATTATATATATATATATATAGTATTACCATGTTGTATTGTTAGTTAGTGAACTGGACCTAGCTGTTAATTAAGAAGAAATATCTCAACAAATCCTAAAAAACACATGATAGAACATCTTGTTTTGCCAAACTATAGAACCACATAGACTTTTTATCAGATGTCATTATGTTGTTTAGCAGAACATGTAAATGTGACCTTGTTACAGACCTACAGTCCTTTCAGAATAAACACAGGTCTCCACAGGGTCATTCTTAGTTAGGATAAGGCAACATCATTATTTAGTCAGGTTTGGGGATACCATTGTTGTTGGGAAAAATTATACGGAAGTGGCGTTGTTAAGTGCGAAAGTATTGTAACAAATACATATTTCTGGTTCCACCCAGGACACAAAGATGTCTCCTGGCTAAAAGTCTGTACTTTTTGGATAAAAAGTTTATACTCAATCAGTTCTTACTCAATCTCTTGTTCGACCTTTCAGCAAACCGTCCTGATCGTCATAATAACTACGGCCCCTAGAGGGCTTTATCGTTTGAGCCTCTGACATGACGTCTCGTTTTTGTAATTGTACACATGTAAAATACAAATCATACAATATTTACTTAGAATAGTTACATTGTACACATGACTAAATGATAGACTACCTGTTTGCTTGCTAGCCAAAATATGTTACAGAACTGCCTCCAAATGCGCTGAAGGTAAACGGATAAAAACTGATATACAGTAAGTCCTCCAACGGAGATATCTCTGTTGGAGGACTTACTGTATATCAGTTTTTTTCCGTTCGTATCATATGATATTGACAATATGATTTAAGTAAAAGGTGCATTTGAAAGCATTAATTATACAGAACTTCCTTTGATTTTATATCAGTGGAAGCGTTTTTTTGAGCTCTGCTTGTTCTAAAGAGGACCCTTTCTGTCAAATGTGGGGAATAATGTCTACAAGAGGCAGCAAACATGTGAACACCATTCACTTTAATCTGATACCTTGTTTAAAGAAATCTGTGTATTTGACTGTATACTGTGAACATCTGGAATATATCCACAAGAAAGCTGTAGGCTACATATGTCTCTGACACACTTCTGCAAATACATATTTAGTCAGAAAACGAGTTAAATGATGACACTTAAATATAATGATATGAATAAATAAAAAGTGTGGCTTTACTCAAATACATCCCAAAAGGAGACATTCATAAACCTTCCGTTATACCTGGCTGAACTCTTTTCCCTAGAGTATATTCCCTCTTTGTCCTGATTGGCCAGTTGCTATTTTAAACGGTGCTGTTAATGAGCCAATCATCTTTCAGAAAGAAGGGTCTTCCACAGACGCTCCTCCCTCTTCTCCTGTCATTGGTTGCCTTTGAGATTCTAAGTATACGCTTTCAGCCAATGAGGAGAGAGCAACTGTTGCATTCAAAGACCCCCCCCCCCCCCGCCCCCTCCTTCTGCTGCAGCCTCTCAGTCTGGATTCAGATCTGAAGAGAGGAACAGTGTCATGATAAAGGGGGAATTATGTGACCTAACACTTATGCATTAAATACAACAAATATATCGCAGCATAAGTGTTTTTTTACACACAAATCTACATACATTTAAATACATTTAAACCACAACTTTGCTTCACATCTGCAAAAGTCAAAAGTGGCTCTTTCGAGATGTATTGCCCTTAATATGTTGTATATATAATTTATGTAATGCCACGACTAATTCCCACATCCCCATGTTGATTTAAATATGAACGTAATAACGAGATATCATATGATTACTGTAACAAGCCCGAATAAACCGACAGAGGAGAAAGTGAGAGAGGATTACTCTAGTTTCCAACGCCCTCCATCGGCAGCGACATCTCCCTCCCTCTCTCTCTCCCCCCCCCCCCCCCCCTCTCTCTCGCGTTCTCTCCCCCCTCCTCCCTTTGCTGCTGCCGCGCGCCCGTTCGTCTCGCTCACACCGCTTCCGAGGCTCGTGGAGAGAGGACGGATAAACGGCGCTGACTGAACCGGATTTCATACCCGGAGGAGGGAGGGATGCCACGGTGATTTCCCTTTTTATTCTCCTGACAACCACCTCTATCACCACCACTCCTTTCCATCACTTCAGTATTGGAACCTTATCAAGAAGACTGTCTGTCATCATTTTAATTTCATCTTGCTTGATTGGTAAGGGGATTTTTCTGCCTCTGCGCTCCAGCGGATAGAAAAAAGGACATTTTGGGTTTGTTTTTTTCTCCTCCAAGCGCACACTCCTAACAGAACAAACTGGGGTTCCCATCAGTGGATGTGTTGGACATCTGATAGAAGAAGCAGTACTTGTTGAGAGATCGGCTTGTATGTATTGGGGGGGATTTCCTTGGAGAGACGGACGGCTGCGCACGGACTCTCTCACTTCCAAAGGTAAGGCTTAAGTTAAATAATTCTGCATCCACACAGTCCCATTCATCCCCTTCGTTTCTGCGGAGGCTTTTTAATGAGCGTAAAAACCGGAGAGAGAGACCGGAGTGAGGGCTCTCGGTTCCCGGGATGCTGGTTCGAGTCTGGATTGGTCCAAACGCAGGGTTGTCACACATCAATTACACATTAAAATATCACCATGGACGTTTATGTGTGAGATACTAAGGAATATCACCACAGAGTGTTTGCGCATTACAGGTAAAGTGAGAGTGTGTTTGCTCTGCTGCTGAATCTGAGCTCACTTTCTTCAGTGGATGACGGTTGGATTGGTGCGTTTTATTCACACACTGTATTTCTTCACATTTCGAGCGCAGTGTGTGTCTGAGTGCGTTTTTTTCGCTCGTTTGGTGTGTCCCTGCGCGTCTGCGAGAGTGCATATCTGTGTGTGTGTGTGTGTGTATGCAAGTGTGTGTGTCTGGCCACGTATAAAGGCAGATCTCGGTGTGCATGCAGGCTCTCTTTTCGCTGCCTCCCGGAGCCTGTGCGTAACGGCGACGCACAACTTTTATTTGGATCACCGTTCACATGGGCTACATGTGGATCACATCATTCATAAAGGAGAGAAACCATTCAATCACTTCAACAATTCAAACGAGGCATACTTTTCTTGGAGTGGCAGCTATTTTACTGTCGTCCTCTTTTATCACAGTTTAAATAACCAACTCTATGCTCTCTCATCGTCATTTCCTCAGACTCGTCTTTGCACGGCTCATTTTCTCTGGAATCAAGCTCTTGAAATGAGAATCCCTAAAGATCCAATATGGTTAGTATTCAGTCCATTTTAATACTTAATACGGTCTTTGCTCTCTCCATGTGGTGAAAGTGCATAAAATTGCTTAGATATCATTGTGCCCGTAGGGTCATTTCAGACACATTCTGCACTCAATTATGTCCGCGCGCGTTGCTCCGCGTGCCTGCAGGGCCACATTATAGACCAGCTTTTAATTGTTGCGCATGCATATACCATTGAAATCTTAGTGCTGGTTGCTATATGATAAATTATGGATGCACGGGGCACCGAGCTGCTGATGAGTCGGTTTCAGTGAGTGAGATATCGGGGTATAATTTGGGCAGCTGCAATTCCGCTGCGTTTTCAGGGAGAGGCGGTCTGGAGTCTTTGGTATTCATGGCACAGCTCAAGATTGCTGCTCTGAAGCAATAATCTCTCCCTCTCCACCTCTCTCTCATTCTGTCTCCCACACTGTTGCTCTATGAAATGTCTCCCCCCTTCTCAGGCTCTCTCCCTTCTGTTTTAGTCTTATGGGAGCCATTGAGAAAATCATTTGCTGTTGTGTTTTCTTGTTGTTTCTTTAATCTGCAAACCCTTCGGAGGAACTTGCTGCAGTTTGTTAAACAAAGAGAAACTTATTGTATCCTCTCAGGTGATTTTTTTCTTGTTTACAGTGTTGTATCAGCGTTTTCCTCCACACATCCTTATTGTGTGGTTACTTCTCAGACAGTGCTTCGCTGTTTATTCCCGCCCCCCTGCATTTTCCTAATTAGTCTTCAGACCAGTCAACATTTTTAGAAGAAACACTGAATTCTTCCTTTTGTCTTCCGGCTCTGTGAGTTTAATTTGTGGCCACTCAGAAGACACATCACAGGAACATAATGCCTGTGTTGAATTGCAGCTTTTTTCTTCTTATAGTTGCTGTTTGACCGGGCTTAACATCACAACATTCTCACGCATGCAGTGTTTTTGTAAACAGCACAACAGTATTGCCCAATTTGTGCTCCATGATGTTTTGCTTAATTCACTCATTAATTCTTCTAGCGCCCTGCATTTCGGTCATAGTAACTCAGCTTGAAGGGAGAGAATCAAGAGGAAATGAGAGAGGAGAAACAAGGACATAAGAGTGAAATCAGTGTTTCATCAGAGAACCACCGCCGTCTGAGACCTGCAGACAGAAAGTGCTCGTCATCACTTGGCTATCTCAGGACATCTAGCTGCCTTCCTAGGGCTTTTATGTCTGGGAATGTGATTGTATATTCTTTAAAAGCAGAAGCCCCTTGTATCATGGTGAGCAGTATAGCAACCTGGCTGTGGATGACACATGAAAGCAGTTGGGATATAACACTTTTCACTGATGTTCAGCCAGGAAAATGGCAGAGAGAGTGACAGTAATGTCGGCAGTTTTGTGTACGCAGTGGCAGGACCTGGCAGTGGAAATGCTCTGTGTTCCTTATAGAGATATCATTACATGTGTGCATCGCTTCAACTCTGTTTGAAAAGACACAACTAGGCCAGAGAATGAAGCTACGCTGCTAATCAAGGTTACAGACTGTGTTTGCGGGGAGTATACAATAAGTGCTTGAGGATCATAAAGAGAGAAAGTGCCTCCACTTAATTTAGGAAAAATAGACCTTAGAAATCTTTGCATTGAGATTCTTTGGACTTTTTATTTGAGTTGCCACAGTTAGTTCTAGTTGGCATATGTAATCCCCGGACAGATGTTGTAAATCAACCTAAAAACACATTGCATTTCAAATAAAAGTAGATTCAATCAGTAGAAACATGCAAAATAGATGCTTGTAATAGCCTGATAAACAAACAACAACACAGACATGTGGCTTAGCATGTGATGACTTCATGAAACATTCACACTGTCATGTTTCTTTCTTGCAAGTGTGTCTTTGATTGTGAGCCACTTTTAAAGTCAGTATTGCCAAAGCTACTCTTCCCTCATTCTTCAAATGCATGTAGAAGGAGTAACGCTTGGCCAACTGGAATGAGTTTAAAGGAAACTGACGGCAAACACTGACGTAGCTCAGCGGGGGGGGGGGGGGGAAGAGAGATAGAAGGATTAATTTATTACACTGTAATCGTTATATTTATATTTAATTAGGCTCCAGCTGCTCCGCTCTCACAAACCGTAGCATTGTACATGTGTTTATTTGAAAGTGTACAAAGAGTGAGAAGGAGAAGGGAGATGAGGAGGCAGAAATCAAAGAGGAGAGTTAAAGAGCTGGGTGACGACAGAGGGAGCTGTTGGGCTTTCTGCAGAAACGACGCTCTGCTTTTTACAAATCCCTCTTTTTTCTTTCTGTCTCCATGACTTTTGTTTTTTCCTCCTTCGTCCCTCTCCCTTTTCTACGAGACAGAGAGATGGAGAGGTAGTTAGGATCCACACACACACACACACACACACACACACACACACACACACACACACACACACACACACACACACACACACACACACACACACACACACACACACACACACACACACACACACACACACACACACACACACACACACACACACACACACACACACACACACACACACACACACACACACACACACACACACACACACACACACACAGTCTGGATAAGCATGTCCACCCTGACTTCTGTTACCTTCAGATTGACATTACCACCAAGAGAGAGAGAAAGGGGGAGGAGGAGTAAAGATGGGGGACTTTTTTTTTTTCTCTCTTTGCTTCTGCTCTGTTTTCTCCCCGGTCCCTTAGACACAGAAACCCGAGTCAGCATTACAGACAACGGGTTCAGCTTCAGCATGTTTTTAATGTGTCTCAACCCCTTCCTGCTCCGAGTTTTCCAACAGATTTTAAATTGTATTTGTGCTGTCCTCTTCTCCTTCTCTATTTGAGACGACATACAGAGAATCCTTTCGGTTTGTTTTGATCCACAAACAGTTTCAAAATGCACGTCCAATCATAGGACATAATGGAGATATGTGAAGTAGGACAACCTGTTAAACTACAGTGTGACACTGACACTCAACCAAAGTATTTCAAGTATACAAATCCAGAATTGAAGAGTTCATGTATCACATAAACAAGCCAGAAAACACAACAAAACATATACTTTTTAACACCCAAACAAAAAGTGTAAATGTCGTAATGTGTACTTCTATTATTGTAAAAGATTAAGATCACGTTCATTAATCCCCGAGGGGAAATTCATCTTTTCACTCTTGCATTACGTTACAATTACACACATAGGCCTGAAATACACACACATGACCTATAGACATGCACTAATGAAGAGGTACCAGTCCACACTCTGTATCTTTGGTCTGATTTGGCACTTGAACCAACAACCCTTCTGTTCCCAAGCCAAGTTGTAGAGCGACTACCACCATGTATAGTCCCCTTTGCTGCTTTACTTTGATTTATGTGCTTCTATTTTGAACTGCGTCAAGAGAAGCATGCAAAACGTCTTTGTACCTGAGTGTAAAGACAACAGAAATATATTCTAATCCTCACTACTAAATGGCCCCTAATCATTCATTCCATCCGTTTGAACACTGGTCTTCAATAAGTAAGGTTACAGTGATTTATATCTACAGCAGTGCGATGGGATTATAACTCTAATCCCCAGATTAAATATCCGAGGCAGTAATTAGTGTTTCTGACCTTTAATCTCTCTACTTGCCCTCAGGAGGAAAGGAAAGACAGTGGTTGGTTTGTCTCCATTTAACGAGGGATATAAGGTAGATTTGGGGGAGAGGGGGGGGGGGGGTATTTCCTGGGGTATCGGAGCATGTGAGGATCACAGGTGGTTCAGTGTTGTTGACATAGCTTCCTGGCAGTATAATGTCCCGGGTTGAGTTTCCCCCGGACGTTTAAGCGTGGGCTTTGTTTCTTTTTGCTCATGTGGTTTCACTTAGCGCTCGGCATTCCCGTCACGAGAACAGTTTGAGTTAGGAGAGGGAAGTCACCCACATGTATAAATACGGGTTTAATAAGTCTTTTCAATCCAAATTGACATTTTAAGTCAGTCTTTTATCTATTAACTGTGTGAAAACTCTTTTGTTCATCTTTTTGCCAGCAACCCACTGCATGCTGGGATTTAATCGAATCACTTCTTAGACCCTGAATGAAATTAAAGCTAATGTTAGTACGCCGGGGAAGAAATAAACGTGTGACAGCGTAATTAATAAAAGTGTCCCGTGCTCTCGTTATCTTAG